ATTGTGTTTTTTCCCCAAAAAAGTTGGAAAATTTGTTGCGTTTTTCTGTGGAGAAGAGATCTGGGTTTAATTGTATTTGTGAGTTTTTTAATTATAACAGAGTTTGAGATTTGTTCTTATTAATCATTTCAGATAAATACAGCTGTCTTGCCAGGCAAAATTAATTTTTTAAATTATTCTGGCTTTGTCTGTTCAATTCATAGTGAATTTAAAGCTTTTTTCCGCTTACGTTCATCAACAAAATATGGAAATATTAAAATATTAAAAACAGAATCTTTGGAACATCCTTTAAAAAATAAAACTAAGATATTCTCTTCACATGTATCTAATCTGTCCACCCTCTTTGGCATATATTCATAAAACTAGAATTGTGGAGTCTTATGAAGTTATGCTTTCTGTTAAACTTGTTTGTAGATTATAATGAGGGACGGTTTGCATTGATGCTCTACGCCTTTCGGTTTAGAGACCGTATTTGACTTAGTTTGAAATATCTGGTTTGATTTGAACCACACCATGACCTCATTCTCCTCCCATTCAAATAAAAAACAATAACTAAACTAATTTAGACTCCCATGTATGTTTACAGATGGGTTTGACAGTAAGAGAAAGGTGACAATGCCAAAGAGATCTACTGCTTTTAGGCCTAACATAGTTTTATCAGTAATGTTCATATACAGATCATATACAGTGAATACAGTCAATATTGTATATATATATTTTTTAATCTGGCCTAAATCTGAAAGTTTTGTTATTTGATCATTTCTAAAAAAAAAAAAAGTCTTTCTGTGGTGTAGATGCAGTTACCAAGAATTGTTGACGGGAAATTGCTTTGCCTTAGATTGGTGAATATTGACCAACTGACGTAGAGGACAGGACACTGAGTAAGAAAGACATTCTTAATAGCAACACCTTCTCTCCTCCTCTACTATTCTCTCTATTCACACAAACTGCTTTTCAGTGTATTAATGGAAAAAGACTAAAGCTGATTACACAAACAACTCTGAACCAGCTAACTCTCCAAAGTGGTGACAGCAACATAATCAAATGAGTTTACTTCAATAGTCCAGAACAAGGTCTTGGGCCTCTGATTTAAAAAGAAAAAAAAAGGTTTTGATGTCTTTTTTGGTTTTACATGTCTGGAAGAAATATACAGTACACTCAAACACTGTTGTGGTGATGCCCAATCCAATAGGCTGGACTTCACAGATGAGTGTCATCGGTTGGTCACCTCTGCTGTGAACATGCCAGCGTCCTGTTCACCTGATCAAAAAATTTGCTGAGAAAAGTCAAGAAGCATTGCAGTGGGCATGTACCCAATACGTCATACCTAGCTGACAGATTTACAACAGGTATAGATGCCTGTCACCAATCAATCAGAGAGAAATAGAGAAAAAAAACAGAAAAATCTGAAAATAGCTGTCTAAATACAAGTCTAAAATGATTTTTTAAAAAATTTCTCTGTGTTTTGAGTGGCACAAATCACACACGACTGACAGTATTTAAGAACCAGAACATTTTGTAAAGGACTTAGATTTGGGTGCATTTAAATGTTTTCCAACATTCCCTCTTTATGATAAAATGGTCCAAATGTATAGGAAGACAGTGTCTGCTGTCAGGTCAAAGCCAAAAAACTTTTGGTGGTCCAACCTCGTTCTTCAGAGGCAACGCTTTTCATGACATGTTGATTTAGTTTAAATGGAAAGAGAAGTGGAGGCAAAAAGTTGCAGTGCAGCATGTTTAGCAGCAGCATTTGCTTCATCAAACGTCATCAATCTGTGGGCTGCATACTTACAGACGGAGATGTTTACAGGCCAGAAAATTGCTTTGAGTATTGCTGTACTCTGAGAAACCTTCAAATTCGGTTTTACATCAGATTTGACCCAAAAAAAGTTGGTGTTTCCACAGTGCATCAAAACCATGAAAAACACCAAATCCATATCTGGAATCTGTGTAAATGGTGACTGTGGTGGATGCTTTTACTTATCATTGTTTAGTAATTTACATTTATTAGTTTCAGATTACCTGAACATAAGTTAAGTTCAAGTTATTTTATTCAATATAGTTCAAGTTATTTTATTCAATATAGTTTCTAATGGTTGCACAATTTAGTTCATATTTAGTTAATGAAGAGCTCCTCTCCAGGTACACCATCTTTCTGACAAATTCTGAAGTGTATTTGAGTAAAATTTCCCAGTTAACTTGTTGAATCCGGTAATAGTGTGGGGCTGGTTGTTTGCACAACTTATGGAGTAGCCGTGCTTTTTCATTTTCACTGCCACAATCTTTGCTGTATGTATTTAGCTTTGTACTTACTTAATCTTTTTATGGCTGATTCTATTTTGTCATGAATTATCAAACTAATTTGATTTTTTTTTTGCTATCATCACTATTAATATTTGATCTTGTAGTCTATCTATTTATTTAAACAGTTTCTTTTATACATAATTGCTATTATTAGCCTTTTTAAAAGGATGAAAGTAAGAGTTGACCACTGGTTAAAGTAAGGTTAAAATAAAGTAGGAGGGGTTTCCCTCTTGCTAAAATATAAGGGGCCTTTCTTGGGTATCATTATTTAATTAGATTTCTGTGAACTTTCAAGTGGCTCGCAAGTTATGGATCTTTTTCCCATACAGGGGCTTCTTATTGCGATGTGGAAGTTTGGTAGACAAGTCAAAAATAAAATACACAATTGCAGAAGAATGGACCTAAGATTTGGAGGTGGTCAGTTTGTTTAGTTAGACATTTAATTTTTACATAATGAAATTTAACTCATGCACTTTATTTCAACAGCAACAAAAAACAGCATAAAGAACCTCACACCCATTCTCTATTATTCACTGGTCTGAATAATAAATCAGATGAGGTTTAACTACTTACACACCACTAGATGGCAATGTGGTTCCTTGGAAAAAGTGGAAATTTTCTTGTGTTATTGTTTAGGTCCATATCATGTTATCATATCTTGAAAAAAGTATCAAAATGCAGCTTGAAATTTAATTGAAAACTAAATAATCTGCAGCAGATAAAGCAGACATTTAGCACAGCTCTGATAAATCTTACACTAGAGAGCGACCTGGTTCTTGTCTAGTCAGATAATGTGTGTCTCAATAGATAAACCAGGTGTCACTTTTGATTGATATTTCCAGATAAAGGAAGGGAACACACATCTGGTCTGGATTCTCCCTCTACCTTTGTATAAAAGGGTTTTATTTCAAGGCGAACTTTGCTAGTTGGCATCTCCACCCAGAATTAAAGTCCCACATCTGTGTTTCTGCATTTGCATGCATTGCATTTTGTTTTGTTTATATATGGGTGGGTGGATGGGTTTAGACTGAAAAACAAGATTAAGAAAATTTATTAAAGACATTGTATTTAATTGGCTTTAAATGCATTGCACTACCTTTCTTGAATAAAATATATGGTTTTAAAATAGCTTAAAAAAGATACATGTTCATAATACTGTACATACAAGGAAAAAAAGGACAAGTACTAGTTACTAGTACTAGTACAGTTAACTGTGGCAGCAAATGGTATTGCACATAACCTACCCTATTGGTTCAATGTTTTCTCATGGACACTTTAGTTACTTTAATGCAACCAAAACCAAAGTTATTTTACTTCTTTTTTTAATTTTTTTTAGCAATATTTAAATAACACCCATGACCTGGTTCTGACTCACAATAATCTACATTTTGGTACTTTACTCATGGTCAACCTCATTATAAATAGGCCAAAGTCCTGTCCAACCTTTTCTATGAAATAATTGAATAATTCATGTTGATATGATATGCCGCCCTCTTACAGTCAAATAAATAGATAAAGAGATAAATAGATTAGATAATAAAAGTAGCCAATGATGCATCCTGGGCAGTAGGCCAACTGAGCCCAAGTCGTGTTTTACTTTTAACCTAGTCATGCACTGACCATTACAAACATGTGGTGTTAGCTGGTCCATCAGAAGACCTACAACCAAATTTTCGGGACAATGAGGGTATTAGAGTTCTCGTTTAACTTGGCAAAATAGTCTTAAAACTTGTAGGAAGGCCCTCTGTAATGCCAAAGCAGTGTAATACTCTTCTTTAATGGAGGAAAATCAGAACAATCCCTAGTCAAGTACTCCCATAGCTCTCACTAGCCTTCATGAGCTTCTTTAATGATAAAATTCTATCTATTAGAAGCCAAATCCACCAAGATTTATCCTAAACAGGCACTAACTAATCTCTAAACTCAGGAACCTTACAAACAGCGGTAAAACCTGTTACCATAGATGTTACTTTATATAACTTCAGGGTATGGTCTGACTGTGAGATAACTGTTGTGATTTGGCGCTATATAAATAAAACTGAATTTAATTGACTGTAGTGATTAATAGAAAAAACCTGGGATTGTTCTTATTCTTTTATAATATAGCAGTAAAAATAAAAAGTGATTCTAGCTTTATGAAGGGATTTCATATATGTCATTTAAAAACTTTAAAGACTAACTGAGACTAGTAAATTAGAAGATTTCTGTTTTGGGCTGTGATAAAAGTGTTAACTCTTTGAAAACTCAGTTTCAGTTTCAGTCACTTAAAAAGGTTGTTAGATGAGACAATAAGAGCTTTGACTAATGTTCATAGTCATCCAGCTTCATCTTCTAAAATAGAATTAAAATATGACTTATGCTTTACAGATGTTTGGTCTGACATTTCCAGATCAGAGCAACATAAAAAGTGTGTCTGTGAACAAGAACATTAACCTGTGGACAGGGGAATTGAAAATTAAACCTTTTACACCTGCCACTGCTGTTCCACTTTTTCTTTTCCAATCACAACATTGTTAGTTGATGCTTAATGCATATTCCACTGTGAAACACATTTTTTTGCTTTTCACAAACCTGAAAACACCGATGTGCATATAAAAGTTTCAATAAGTTTTGATAAAGGCAGGTTTTAGGCTTAGTCTCCAATACAGAGGTTGACATTGTTTCGTACAAAGCCTGAAAGTTTCTCCAAAAGGAGAGAAGCCTGAAAACTGACAACACAAGTTCATGTTAGTTGTATCAAAGTATAATATTGTCAATGTAAGATTGAAGAAAGCCATTTATATGTTGTAGAAAGAGTTTTATCTTACATTCTAGAATTCACCAGTAAGTGTATCAGAGTGGCAGTACTTTGAATACTCTCTAATGATCTTTATTAGATTTCACAAATCAAGCAGTCATTTCTATTAGAGAAAAGGTTTATTCACTTATGTACAAGCATGTCTGTCACCAAGGTGGAGACTGTCTGAGATATACAGAGCAGAGAAGAAAACTTATAAGGTGCAAATAAACACAATGATGCATGGCTATGTACTTTAACCCAACCCCCGTCCCGCAATGCACAAGGCTGTAGCTCAAACATAGTCTGAGAATAGAGAAGAAAGAAAATGTTTACATTACTGTGGCGCAAATGGTGCTTTTGTGCTTTATGAAGCACACGGCGAAAGTTTATGCTAACTACTGCTGTCATAAAGTCTGAATAAACTTTATTAAGTACTCTGCTCTGTGCTGTATCTATAAAGCAGCAAAGCTAAGGCAGTGTAAAATAAAGTTAAAAAAAAAAGTCACCATTAAAATCTGATATTGGTTATTATATTGTGTTTATGTGTGTAGCAGTCTAAACTATGAAGTCATAGTCTTCGATTTCGTGGAACTAAGTTAACAAAAGTGCCCCTATTTCAGTCAGTGTACTGTTGAAGGGTTTGGAATGTGCCTTGGAGACATTTAAATGCACACACATTCATGAACACACCCGCGTGCACACACACACACACACACACAGATCACGGGGCTACAGTAGACCAGTAGGATGGTCACAAGACATGCTTAAAATGACTGCTACAGATTTAGCAGGTCTAGAGTAAAACTGTTTTGAAGTTAAATGCCATGTTCTTTGGGAGACGTTTATCAGCTCAACCATTTCCCAACGTTTATGATTTTGCTGAACAGTGCTCTCCTCAAGTGTGCTTTAATCACAATCCAAAGGACAAAGTCCTCCTCATTTAGGTCTGTTCCTTTCTTCCTGGTGAATAAATTCTTGCAGTTTGATAAGCAAAACCGAATTGTAATTGTAATTTCGTTGATCATGTTTTAATTGAAAAATAATTGTATTTTGTTTTGAATTGGTTGTTTACTTAAGGAATTTAAAAAGTCACTTTTTATTAATCTATTTATTATTATTTTGGGAATAACAACTGACTTCTGTTTAGCTCAACTTATTTGCATAAAATAATCTCAACTTTATCTTAGGATGGACATTCTTCACATGAGTTAGAAAAATGTTCCTTGTATAGCCACATATTTCCAAATATTTCAACCCAAAGGCAACCAGTTTGCTTGAGGACAAATTAAGCAGAAGACAAAAAGGCTTACTTACTGAATAAGAACATATCTGGAGGAAAAGTGAAGACCATTTTACTTTTGATTGTTTCTGTTTCTGTTTTTTTGAAGACTAAAAAGGTAGCCGCCATTAGTAGTAATCTGCAGTAGATCTTTCTTTTTATTCAGGTAAAAAAAGCATTTGTTTTGGGATCAGTTTAGAATCTGATTGATAGATCAACAAGATATAAAACTAGGGAAAAACGTATCAGTCTGACTTTGATTTAGATCACCCATTTCCTATGTAAAGCTTAGCTTTCTTCTTGAGTTCAGTGAGAATACGTTTTGTCTAAGATCCCTCCTCTTTGGGGGCTTTACTTGCACAATTTGTTAGAAAAAGCATTCACCAGTAAAGGTAACAACAACTTGGACATTTTCCATTTTTTCTTCTTTGAAAATATGTTTTCTAAACACAGGTGAGCTTTATATGACAGAAGGTAGTCAAGAAATGGGCACAGAGAGTGATCAGAAGTCAATCCAGGGCCATTGGAACACCTCCAGCCACCATTCAAACAAATTGGGGATCTGCTTAAAACCACATAGCAACATATCCAACAAATTATCTGCAGCCACAGTCCTGAGCTCTTTTATGTGTATTTTCCTTGTAACTCTAATTATGTTAAATTAATGTGCTCAAGGAATAAAAATAGAAGGAACTGTATACTTGTTCCGCTGGTGTGTTTAACAGTTACTCTGAACTGTAAAAGATGTATGTCAGTGAACAACCACTGACAAAACTGTAGGAAACTATTAGTGAGTTGAGTGCCACAAATTCCAGAAAAATACTTTAAATATACAAACATAAATAAAAGGGAAGTCAGTGTTTCATTTAAACATTTACAAATAAATACTTGATTTTTTTTAGGATCCAAACTATGGGTACAGATTTGGAGAAAAGGGAGGAAGGGCATGGTGACAGTATGATGAGAAATGAAAGCAGACAACACAAGTTGCACAACTTAGCAGACCCAGCATGCTCAACAGCACAGAAGTTTAACAAGATTGCTATGTCTGTATGTTGTGATACTTACAGTATATGAAACCCAGCTCACATAATGACCACGCTTGTGTTTTCAGTTCTCGGCACATTCGGAACGATTTTAAATAAATATATACACAACCTCTTCAACAGAAAATGACTTGATGTAACAGATGGAGATTTATGTACCCGTCTTCTGCTCCCATTCCTGCAAAACAAACAGACTCCGTCATTGCCTGTGCTTTCCAGTTGTGTTTCTGTTACATCAGTTTGTAATGGGTTAAACTAATCCATCTAAACACAAACAAACACACACACACACTTATATACATATATTCGTATACGTCTTTTAAATAATCTGTCTTCTTCTGAAGGGTGTAGGAATATATTTCATCAGTGGCCAGCAGTCTGCCCAACTTAGCCCTCTTGGAACCCAAGACAAGTACAAGTTAATAATTTAAGTGTCAGGTGGCGCCAGATACTAATGGAAATGCAATAAAAAAGAGAAGAGTCAAGCTGAGCCGATTCGAGCCACACTGTGTGGTCACTGGTGGACAGTGGTGGGCCGTCAGGGCCTTCAAGGCCTTCTCTGCAGGCCTAAGAAAATATCTGAATCACAGACTGATGTTAATTATATTTTGTCCATGGAAACTTATTAAATATCTCTAAATAGTCTGTCCGCTTCCTTTCATAGCTTTTCTCCTGGTTGCGCTGCTTCCAGACGTGCATTTTCATATAAAAGCATTTAACCAATCACATTTCAGACATCCTTTGTCGCTAGGCAGGGTCAGAGTCAAAGATGTCTGCCTGGAGGCCTTCACAATCCGTTCTGCAGGCCCCCCCCACCACAGAAAATACATGTCGAGTACGCTGTTGCTTCAACCAATCAGATTTTAGGTTAGTCATGCCAGGGCCTGCTTGAAGGCCTAAGGCAACGTCACCGTATCCACACCCGCTGATTGGATAGTCAGATATCCAATCAGGGCAAAGCTAGCAAGCAAACCGAAATATAGTTGTTTTGGTGTAATAGCTATTTTATGATTTGGTGGCGGATTTACTGTCAAGACCATTTTGAAAATGGACTTTTCAAGAAAAGTAAGTGAGTAAAATGTTGTTTTTTTCCTAAATAGTAATGCGAGTTTATGAGGATATTATTGATGTTTTTGTTTTGTTTTTTTTGTTGGGGGGGGGGGTCGTAGCTGTAGCTGCAGGAGTAGAAGAAGAAGACTTGTGCACCCCTGATCCTTATACTGTATTTTAGGCTTGTCCCGATGCGATATTTGGATCGTATCGGCCGGCGTGAGAAACTGCCGATCCAGACTCCAGATCCACTTTTTTAAAAAGTCCGATCCCACCCGAGCATTAGCATTAGCATTAGCATCTGTAACCCACAGGTCTGTGTAAACTTTAGTTGTTATAAGAGTAAATCCCTGTTCAACATGAGTCTGAAAACTAAATAAGTAGAAAAATAACATACAAAAAGCTGGATCGGGACATCCCTACTGTATTTCTACATAATAAGATGATTTCTATAACCATAAAATAGTTATTGAGAGGTGAATTGATTCAGACTACTGAAGGCCTAGGTGTAAAATGCACGGTCCGCCACTGCTGGTGGAATACCCAAAATAGTGTTGTGAACACAAAGCGGTGGAGTCAGGGGTGAGCTCGGACCTTAGCCTTTCTGAGGACATGTCCTCTGACCGTTGAGGGCTTCTGACCGGCCTGTTGCCGGCGGAGCAGTGACGCGCTGTTGACCGGCAGCGAGCAGGACTCTGTGTCACTGGTATCGCAGCTCGAGAACGGAGAAGAGTCTTGTGTTCGTCGTAGCATTGCAGGTGACTAAAAACACATGGGGGGAAGGTATAACAAAAAAGAAAAAATAATCAGTAATGATTAGGGGTGGGACGGTTCACAAAATCCACGGTTCGGTTCGGTTCACGGTTTCGTGGTCACGGTTTTGGGTTCGGTTCGGTATATGTTGATTGTTAGGAAAATCTATTATGTCTTGTATAGTCAGGTTAAAAGTGAAAGTAAAAAGCTGTCTGACATTTGATCCATTATTGTGACAGTCTGAGGTTAAAAGTAGGTGAGATTCTGGCATTGCAAGCGAGGAAACAGTGCTAATTCCAACATGTGCTTCCCTCTAAATGCAAACTGGTCCATACAGCAGAAAATATATAAACTGCTGTTGGCGCGTTGGATTTTTATCGGCTACGCTGCTTCTTCTTCTTCTTGTTTCCTACTGGTGGTTGGCTTTGGGCGCAGTAGCGCCCCCTTCTGCTCTGGAGTGTAAACGCTTCCCTCTGAGAAATAGGAGCAGCATGAACCGAACGCAACACACGCGAACCGAACCGAGACAGTCCAACCCAACGGTTCAGACGGTTTTCAGAAACCGTCCCATCCCTAGTAATGATGTAAGTTCATTTTCAAACATTTGTGGGAGCAGGAAATCATGAAAAAAAAAGCAGGAGTAATGACCTGTCGGCTAGAGGATTCCGCTTTTGGTTCAATTGTGAGGCCCAGGGTGACCCCTCCGCTGAGGGCTTTCTTAAGGCTTTCCTTCACTTCTGTCAGCTCCAGCTCCAAGTTCACCCGCTCCTCCTCCTTCTGCTTGCACTCGTTCTCCACCTTCTTCAGTCGCTCTGACAGCGACGCCTGTGAACGTTTCCCTAATGGATGAAAATGATCACCTTAAATCATTCAGTTAAGAGACTAGAGAGATGTCTTTTTTTCCACAAGGTAGACACATTTCCTTTGTTATTTCAATTATTAGAACTCTTGAAACTAAACACCTTGGCTTTTGATCTCTCTTACCGGCAGCGGCCTCCACCACAGTGCGCAATTCTCTCCTCTCATTCTTCAGCTTGTCCAGGTGGTTCCTGATCTCCTGCTTCTTTTTCATCAGCTCTTCCTCTTTGGCCTGCAGTCGCTTGGCATCAGCCTCCACACGGTTCTTGCCATACTTACACTGCTCTGCATCTGTACAACAAAGACTGGATGTAAAAAAAAAAATCTAGAGACAAGAAGATGAATACATTTGAAAGACAAAGAGGTTTAAGACCAACAAACGTGAGGGAAAAATGTAAAATTGTTGCATCATGAGACATGTTCTGCCCAGAAAACCCAATGACCTCACAGCCTTGAACGATCATTAACTCATTGACTGCCAGCCATTTTCAGAAAAAAGAGTCCCATACTGCCAGAGTTTTTTGAGCATTTTGACTGATTTTTCAAGAGCCACAGAATAGTTTGTGCTATGACTATGTAAACACCGAACACGCCAATAGAAAGAGTAGACTCTCTTCTTTCATCAGGAAAAATTTTTTGTTTCTACCTTATTCCGTTCTTCCTCTACTTGCGTCTCACCGGCGACATTTTTCGCATAGCGAACCATTGCGTTTTTTTTATTTGCCTACAGTCTATGCTCATCTCCGATCAAAAGTGGCACTGCCACCTAGAGGGTAAATTTGTTACTACATACTCTGTCTAGAAACCGATATTTACGGACAATCATCAGCGGATCGTCCCCCAAGTCACTTGTGTTGAAAAACATAAAAGACGTCTATAGACGTCTTTGGCAGCGAATGAGTTAATCATTGACACTCCGTCATAGATATGCGACTCTGTGCATCCAACTTGTATTAGAAATTCATCCATCCTTTTTCTATACAACTTATTCAGGGATTGGAACTGGGGTCACATGGGGGCTGGAGAGAGTGGTAAGGGGGTACACTCGGACAGTTGGCCAGTCCATGGCAGAGCCACACAGATACAAACAACCACACACACTCAGTCCTAGGGAGTGATTTGGAGTGTCCATTGAACCTATAATGCATGTTTTTAGATGGTGGAAGGAAACTGGAGAACCCTTACAGAATCCACAAGGTAATTTTGACTTCCTACATTTTTCAAAGTGATGTGGGTGATGTGAGTTTTGTTTGAGAGCAATAAGTAGGAGTGATGCTATGACTGAAAAACCAGACACACTGTCTACTACCTACCTACAAAAAAGACGAGTGGAAAAGCTGGCCTAATATCAAATGATACAATGGTTCAGATAATCCAACTCCGCTTTAAAAAAAAATCATACTGCACATGCTTTTCATTTTTACAGGAGGAAGTCAAACAACTACTTACTGGAATTGAAACATTTTACAGATTTTCCATTTGTCCCACTGACTCCATTCTTCTTGGGCTGATTCTTTGGCATTGCTTTCTGCTTTGATGTTACTCCATTGGCTGTCATTCCTTTCTTCCCCTTTAGCTTTTGGAATCGGAAATAGAGAAAGTGAGACTTTACATTATCACAGAACATTTAAAACTACCAGAAAAAGTGATAAACCGTCCATTGAAAAAAAATTCTCTGATTAAAAGCTGTCTGACTAGACAATAAAAATTGGGCCTTATTTTTTATTAATTATTGCACTTCATTATTGTATGAATATGAATGACAGCTGTGGATAAAACACTGATAAAAAATGATAGGGCGAATTTATAGACTTGCAAATAGGTGACGTGTAATAAAATTCAAAAAGATGTAACTATATTATTCTAACTACTCTTCAGTCGACGCTTTCCAGCACGTTTTAGATGTTAACCTGCTTTCACCTTAACGGTTCCTTAAGAGGCTTTTACGGGGATCCATTTAATAGTAGTAGTAGTAGTAGTTGTAGATAGTTAGGAAGAGGTTTGAATTTAGTTAGTCTGGATGCAAAAGGAAGTCTTTAAGCAGTCTAAAACCTTTTTTTTGTATTTTCCCAAAAAATATTTGATAATTAATCACCTAAACTTAATAACTCATCTAAATTATCCCACATCCTTTAAATATTATCAATTTGTCGGCAGAAAAAAACTTAAGTTTCTCATTCTCTCTTTTGGCATTTGCTTTTGGCATAATTACAACATATCACACACTTTTACACAACACCAACACTGTTGTTGGGGGCGGGGAGGCTACTAGGGACCTTGCGAGGGGATTTTTATTGTTACTCTCAAAGCCCATTTCTTTTGGGAGGGGGTTTCCACTAATACCTACACAGCGTGGTCTGGCTAGACCATTCAGACCAGCTGGTAACGTAATGCGAGGAAATAATTGTGATGGAAAACCACTTAACAAGGTTATTGAGCAGGGACTAAAACTGTGTAAGGATGTGCTGGGACTAATGGAAAACCTCCCAATTGTGAGGCCACAGGAGAGAGGGGGGACTTTTTTCTACATCCACATTTCCTGGGTGATATCCTGCCTTGGAAGGACAATGAGGAATGGTTGGTCCGCTGGTTTCAGGGTGTGGTAACTGTGTCACATGGGAATGGAGCTGGTCTGGGGCATGGTACCCTGACACTGTTCCCAGCTGGGTGGGTGGGGCTCACCCCCTCCTTGCCTCTCCCTACTGCTTACAATTGTGCCCACATTCAATTCAATTCAATTCAATTTTATTTATATAGCGCCACATCACAACAACAGTCGTCTCACAGCGCTTTCCAAACAGAGCAGGTCAGACCCTACTCTGAAGTTAATTACAGAAACCCAACAATTCCCACCATGAGCAAGCACTAGGCGACACAGGCAAGGAAAAACTTCCTTTTAACAGGCAGAAACCTCGAGCAGAACCATGGCTCAGGGTGGGCGGCCATCTGCCTCGGCCGGTAACATTTGGCCTGTCTGGATTAATGGGTTGCTGAGGCACATGCTGGTCAGCTTTAGTTGGCTGGGGGAGCCCATCCTCTTGGGTTTTAAACAGGCCCTCTGCTAAAGGCTGGGTGTTGTTTGGGCCTGGGCCCGCACCTCGCTGGCTTTGCTTTATATATATATATATAATGTGTTTTGAGCAGTAAAAACTGTTCTTGAGTAAGGCTATTATTTGTTTTATGTGGCCTCAAAGTTATTTCATAAAGTTAAAGTGAGCAGTACACCTTAATGGTTTCAAATCTAGTTAGTGGAGCTGCTGTGGCCTTTGAGGTGATGTTAACACTTGTGGGCTGTGTCAGCCCACAAGCCCAAACATCAAAGTGGTGGCGAGGAGGCTCAGCCCCATACAACAGTATGTGGTAGCTTATATGGATGCAGAGGTAGGGTGGCAGTAAGAGGTGGGCTGTAAAAATCTAAATTATAGATGAAGCCAACAATGACTGTTGAGAAGAGGAAGGAAGGGAAAAGAATACGTGGAGGGAACACACACACCCAGACACACCCTAGTGGATACGCATTCATTGTACATGTTTAAAGAGTCAGTAGTCATTTCAGCATTTCAGTTCCTATAACCTGCGGTAACAATCTGTTCTAAACACATTTCACAGGCTTTTATGGAGAAAGGTGAGCTTGCTGGGTGGCCAATATCTATAGCTCATCTATAGTCAAAGCCTGCTGCTGGAATAATACGCACTTTTTTGGTCTTCATGTCAACCAGACACATTTGCCTTGTGCGCATCAGTCAGCCCAATTTCATTTACCTGTACAAACTGAGCTCAGTATTTTTTATCTTTTATTTTTTTGCTATCATGAACAAATCAGCTGGATGTTTATCAGGATGTTGCACATGCTGTTGATGGGATTATATACATTGTTAAACCAAAAAAAAGTAATTTGTTAACTCCACACTAATTTGGTTTTCCACTTTGTCTGATCCACTTTGCAAAACCAGCTAAAGAGTAAATAAAGTTATAAGGTAGATCTATAGATACAGATGTTAGTTTAACAATGAATAGGTAATATACTAAACTACATAGAAAAACATTAGGGTTAAGAAGCACAATGTTAGTCACCTGAGTGTCAGCAGAGAGGAACTTGGAGGAGATTTTAGAATGAGGAGTTTTGTAGTGAGCAGTAGAAGAAGAGGAAGCAGATGAAGAGGAAGCAGAAGTGGGTAAATGCTTGGGAGGGCAGTGTTTGGCCTGTTTGGGTTCAGGCATATTCTCATACAGGTCAGCATTCTCATAATATGCCCCCTCTTTCAGTTGGTGCTCCCCTGTGCTGGGACTGGAGTACTGCACACTTGGTTCCTGGGGTTAGACAAGGCAAGCATGCGCACAACAAAAAGAAAAGAAGAGAAAAAAAAGAAAAAAGAGCAATATAGACAAACAATAAAAGGAGGTAAAGAGAGAAAGGGAGAGGTATATGATGCAGTATAAAGCTTGTTCCAGAATTATTGCAGTATATTACATCAAAGATGAACCATTTCTACTAATTTGTCCAGGACTTACCGGAAAAAAAATTCACCACACACCCATGCACACACACACTGAAAATCCTCTTGTGATAAAAATCATAGAAATTACTTATCTAATTTAAACTTTGATTAGTTTGAGTGAATTACTTGATAAAGTTAGCAAAGTAATGTGAAGGTATAAGTGGGTGCTCACCATTCCGTTTATGGGGACATCATCATAGTGCAGGGCCACACCAGTTGGATAGGCATATCCATCAACAGAGATCCCACGCTTACTGGTGAAACTAAAGATTAAAGATTAAGATTTGTGTGAAAAATCTTGCCAGCTCTGCTCAGCTCAGGAGGAAAAAAAATAAACATTCGTTCAAGGTACCAAACAACGCTAAAAATGATCCCTCACCAAAATGACTGCTTGGCCAGCTGGATGACATTAGCCGTGGTCTCCACATCTATATAATCATAATGCAGGGTGGCAGGGTCAGTGGTGGAACCAGTCTCAGCCAGTAATACACCTAACCAGCGACCCATTTCTTCAGATGAAGAAGCCTGGAAAGACAAGAGTAAGCAACATTACAGTAAACCAAAGTTACAATTTTTACAAAAAAAATCTAACATGGTAGTATTTACTAAATGCTGTCTGGAAATAAACAAGCTACCTTTAGAGTATGGCATTTGTGAAACAATTACAATCCCAATGTTACTGAGGCAGATGCCCCGGGGTTTGTGCTTTATTTATTATGTTAAGAATCTTATAACAACAGCAGCACACCTCTAGCACAGCCACTTCTTGACTGTTGCGAAGCAGGCGGAAGGCAAATGGGTGTTTGTGGTCAAGGCCGGGGTTGACCTCACAGCCTCGGAGAGGCAGTGAGGCAATGTGGCTCTTCAGATCGTCTTGGTCCTTGTGGAGGAGCAGCTGGTTGTCTTTTAGGCGGCACCAGCGCTCTCTCCAGCGGTTATTGGACAGAACATTCAGGTAGCCTGTAAAAGTAAAAACAGCGAGTTGATCGTAGTTCGAAGCAGAGGAAACAGTGAATACATTTTCGTAATAGTTTTAAAATCATCTGATGATTGTGTCTTGGTTGAGGTCTTACCACAGGTGGGTACATCTTCCTCTGCAGATGAAGTCTGTTCATCCATGGAAGGCTTTTTCTTACCCAACCCAATAATCTTGGTGATTTTCTTGCCTGCTCCTTTTGCCATCGTCCCAGTTTTCTGCTCTGACTTGGGATTTTTTTTTGCTTTTCCTGATATACACAAAGACCAGAAATTTGGTTCATTCATAGCGAAGGGAATACATTTATGAAAGGACTTCCTCAGACTATTATCTGTATCTAGACATGTGGATAAATATGTTTTTGATACTTTTGTAAAACTGAAAGACAAAACAAAATTAGACACTATTGTACGCAAAGTCCAAATTGTCAGATACAGGCTTTAATCAGATCTCTGTGTGTGGACTCAGCTTGTTTTAAAATCTCAGTATTTTACACGGTCCGTTTGGTTACATTTCTGTTTTAAAAGTTAGGCACATTCTGTCAGACAAAGGACAGACATCAAGAAAGGCGGGCCTAAATGGCTCTACCTGTCTGTACAAAGAAAAAAGATTCTAAAACAAAATGTTTGTGCCCGGCAGTCATCAGCGTCTAGCTATTGAAAACTTATTTTTTTTAAAACACAAAAAAAAACTTTTCTTACTAATCAAACGTATACAATAATATCAACTCTTTGGATGCAAAACTTTCTGATGCTTTTCACTTTTTTTTTCTTTTTTTTTGCCGTTTGTTGTGACATCTTCTGCAACCCCTATATTCAATATATACAGAGCTGTGTATCCTAAAATAAAAATAAACAAACATACTTGACACACAATTCTAATCTGGATAGTAGACATAGATGTGTGAGTGAAAATAATATTTTCAAGCAGAGTAAACTATTTTTTGATTTTGTAAAAGAAAAGCTGGAAAACCGTGCAGATAAATTTCCTTTAAATAAAATACCTCATTCTTTGTCCAGATGTGGAAAGAATGTGTCTGAAAGAGGGTGTTGGGACTGACTGAGAGAATTAGAAAAGCATATAGAAATACTCCTAAGAACCAAGAGAATTGTATTTGTTTGTTATTCTACTATGTGTCTTTTTCCTAAAAGATAACAAAATGTTGCAGATATTTCTATAATAACCTTTATGAAACAGTGAGAGCTGAAACTGCAAAATAGACTGAGAATGCATATAAACCTGTTCTGATCAGTGTCATGTCTGTGAGGTCAACAGCTGCCTTGCCAAAAACAGACATGTGTTCTTTTAATTTTCTTGGCACAAGTTTTCAAGTAAATACAATGTGTTGGTTGTGCCAAGATTCTTCAAATGTCAAAGCAGAAAAAGATCAACAGAACATCTGAGCAAAAACGCACTAAATTGTAATTAATGAAACACAGGAGAAGGATGAACTTCTTTTTCAACCTAATTCAAAGGAATAATATCGTAAACCAGATGACCAAAATGATGATCAAAGGTTTGTTAAAACCAAGGCTCATGAAATATATAGCCAGTAAACGTTTAGAAACAAATAGCGTACTGTACCCATGCTGTAGCTGTTAACTTAAACTAATTTTACTATGTATCACACCAACTTACTTACTAACTTGGTCATGTTACATAAGTCATGTCCAGATGAAACTTCAAAAAGTCTACAGGTTTTCAAAAATTTAGATAAAATTCTAGGTAAGATCCGATCAAATTCTAGACAGCCCACTGGTACAGTGACATTATGAATGTTTGAGGCACATTGTTGTTATCTCTGTTAACTTAATCTAATTTATTGTGAGTCTCACCTTGGTCCTTGCAGTCGCTGTGTCCATTCTCATGAATTCCTTCACCGTCTGAGCTTGGTCGGTCACATGAGGCTTTCTACCAGCAGAAACAAGTACAGAAGGAAAAAATTATGTCGGCACCACAATGCGAGTAGAACAATAATAAAACATCTCCGAAGAGGTCCTGATGCACAAACACAGTTGTCTGATTACTTTATTAACATCTGCAATAGATTATGGATGAGTTGGCTGAGGATGTGTTTGCTGCACCAAGTCAGGAGAGGTTTGTTCTTAGAAATCCTCTGATGGAGCAGATGTTCAATTGATAAATACATTCAGATTACCTTAGCAGGTCTATTAGGACCATTTATGTTAACAATTCGAAATCCAAATTTGTATTATTACATCCAAATGTTATAAGCAAACAACATAAAATGTCACAAAATTGATCAGCTAATAGTTTCAATTTGTAGTTGTGCAAGCAGCAGCATTATGTTTATTGTATTTTCAGTTTTTTTTTATTTTTTATTTTCAGTTTGGTCAGCTGAAAATAAATCGGAACATTGCCATGGATGTTCAAACCGGTGGAATGTTACAAAAACAACTGCAAACAATAACAAGAGAAAGTAACATGAATATACGGCATTACATTACGTCTAATAAGGGAGACAGAATTAGTTGCCAATTGAATGATAATAGCAGACCCAAGTTTGTTTGGAGAGTAAAATTAGTTTAGATTAAAAAATATACTGCTTTTAAAAACTCAGGTAATCTTGATTTAGTCACAATTTAAAACCTAATTCAACCAATCAAATCTACTTCATTCATCCCGAAAGGGGAAATAGCCTTGACGCAACAACAACAACACAGACAATAAGTCACGTCATTGACAACAAACAATAGAATAGAATTGATGATAAGATAATATATATACATATATATATATACAGTAGAACGGCTAAATACGAATTTAATTTGTTCTGGGACCTACTTTGTATGTTAAAATATTAGCATGTTGGTTCAAATATTCCCATTTGAATACATTGTAATTCGTATAATTTCGTTCCACAGCCCAAAAACCTACGATAACTCCTTCATAAATACTGCAGATAATTACCATAGCAATAAAACACATGCATTATATAACAGAGATTTTAAAAGAAATCAATTATAAAGAAATAATCATTAAAAGGGTTTTGTACTGGCCCTTTACTTTGGTGACTGGCGAAAGTACGTGACCTTTAAACTAACTTAGCTTATTTATCTTTATTTTATTTTATATGTTTTTTGTTTTTTTCTATGACTTCGACATATGTTGGAAATTTACTTCTGGTGTCGAGTCGAATATTTATTCAAATTTCACTTGGTAAGTTGGGAAATTTAGATGTTTAGGCAATCGTAAGTAGAGGTTCTACTGTACCTATATAAGATATAATCACAACCTAAACACAAAAGATAAGAATGCGGATATGTTAATACACCCGCCGTATCCAACATGCCCATTTGTTTTACCTTTTCCAGTGCAGGTTTGTGCACTGGTGATCCCGATCCAGCTCCATCCACATCTGCCGTCCCGATAACACACACCTCTCTCATTACCTGAAAAACAAAAAACAACATTTTTTAAAAGAGAATGTTTTTGAAAAGTTGAGAGATCACATGTTCACTACAGATTGAATTCACTTTATACAATACCGTGTGTAACTGAGCTGGTGGGCGGTTGAGTTTTACCCCTGATTTTTAAATCCTATTGAATCCTTTTTCCTTTTTTTTTAATCTCAAAATATTTCTACACAAAACTGTCATATAATTAAACAGCTCCTTTGGTCCATAAAGCATGCCTGGGATAATTTGGGCCATATGTACAGACCTTCCTCCCTCTCTCATACCCCAATCATGCAAGTGAAAGGCAGCATTGCAGTGGAGTCACCACAGGAGGGAGCGGGTGCATGCATGTAGGAGAGAGTGAAAGCTGGGGTGTGTCTGCCAACACGTTTGAGTTATACCCTTGCATATCATTGTAATGCCAATACAGTGAGGCTCACTCGTGGTGAATGAGATCTGCAGGCTCTGGACAAAGTGCCAGGAACCAAAAAGGGTGACCATGGAATAAGATAAACCCCATCGTCCACAAGTCATCTTATTGCTCTTTCAAAGCACACGGAATTCCCACGTCTTCTCCACAAGCAATCAGAGCTATCTCTGACTGGTTTTGGCTTGCAGTGTGCATAACTGGGCTTCGTGGAGGAAATGACAGGCTGCGGCTCCACATGTCTGGCTCAGCGAGCGACTCAGAGCCCGCGAGTCAGGAACAGACAACTTATCCTTCACTGTAGAGCTGCACAACCAGACTGGAAGATCTGATGATGTGCAACAAATCAAGTTGAAGGAGGTGAAAACACTGTTAGGCTGGTTCTGGGTGCTGAAACCTAACTTTCAATTAAAAAGGAATAACTGTTGATTGACATGTTATCCCCATGATTTCCCACACTCTTATGCTCTTTAACATTTTCCACAGTCCTTCACCTACATCATTTCAACAACAACATATCTAATTATATTCCATGTATGCTATTCAGTGAATATCATACGTATGTAATCTCATCTCACCTTAGCTCAAGCGGATTCTGTGTTTTCCATATATATGTCTTTGCCTACTCATCTGCTGATTGCTACACATTTCAATTTAATATTCTTTAAAAAACTTTTGTTCTTTTTATATACATCTTTAAATATAAAAACAGGCAAGGATATGCTAATTTTACCCCCAAAAACCCTACATGCAATGTTGCTAATTCCCGCAATATCGCAAAGAACAAAAAACCCCACAAAAAACGACTATACAGAGTTACGTATGTATGATGTAATAATCCACAATATGTTTACCAAAGGATGTAAAAATGATATCTCTTCAATAATGAACCTGTAATCTGTTATTAGTTGTAATTGTACAGGGTTTCCAAGCCACAGATTGCTTAAAAGCTTTCATTTTTGTACATTTAAAAGTTGACATGAAATAAAATTACTCTTTTCCCCTATATTATCAACCCTCCCCATTTTATCACAACCCAACCTAAACTTTGAATGGTGTTATGTTTACTATCTTGGATGTAAGAAGAAAGGAATCAATTCCAATTATAGCTATCAACCTATATACTTTTAAAATGTTTTTAATCTTGAAGGGATATAAAACTTCTTGTTGAGGTATTAGTTTTTTTTCTCAAGTGGAAAGTTGGCAATCCTTTTTTTCTGTATAGTACAATTGTCCCATCGTTGAGTTTCCACCCCGAAAAACAATAAGCCTTAATAGTACTATTTTAATAAATAAACAAAGAGATCAGGAGAGATAGCTGACTTTTTTTCATTTTTATAGCTGTATTTTTTAATATAATTGATTCTTTATATGGTTTGGTGTGTGCTAGTGACCAAATTTCCCTTCGGGGATTAAAAAGGAATCTATCTCTCTCATACAGCATGAATACATATTTTGCAAGATAGCTAAAATCTATCTAGGGCGTTTCTTGACTAAATCTCTTTTTGTATTGAAGCCAGATTGAATGTAGTTAGGTAGATCCTTACAAGCCTCAAACTGTAAAATCAGAGTTAAAAGGAGAGCTCTAACACGCCATTCAGTGGTATTTTGTTCAAAGGAAGAATAACACACATATGTTTTGATGAAAGGAGGAAGAGAGAACACAAAGAGAACCCCATGCACAGGGAGATAATTCAAACAATGCACATTGAATCAAGAACTGTCTTGCTGTTAGGAGACAGTGCCAACCACAAAGTATCACCATTAGTGGACAAGAAGTCCCCATGAAATAACCCTCTTGGTATCCAGTTTGTGGTCAAACTCAGATTGTCAAAGCAGTTCTGTTAAGATCTACGGTAGCTGGATCCACATGTGGGAACGAAAAAAACTAATATCTTGAGTTATCATCTCTTTATTAGAAGAACTTAAATAGCTGCACAAAGGGAGGGAAAACATGACATTCACAAAAAATAACAACTAACTGGATAAAACACCGACAAACTTAAAATCACCTTGAAACAAAGAACTGGATATAAAAACAAAAAACACTAACTCTGCTTTGCAGGCAACTGGGAAGGCTCTGAAAGAAATAATTGCTTAGAAAAGCACATAGGAATACCTTGTTAAGGAACTTGCTCAGACCGAATCATACAGAATTATCTGGCTCTGGACAGGTAACCCTGGTAGGCTTTAATAAAGCACATGGAAGGACACAAATCCCAAGCAGCCTTCAGGAACCAAACAAAAAACTGAAAAGACAAACCACAGAAGTCCAAGAAGTTCAAGATGGTTGAATGTATAGAGCAACCACCCACTGTTCCAATGTCACAAATCATCAAATGTCCATCAGTGCATGAATGCAATTTTCTGCCGATCAGTTATAATTAAATACAAACATTCGATTACTTTTCACAGACTGCAAAAAGCAAAGTAAAAATATATGACATCAGGTCATACTGTAGCAGGAGGTAAAGGCAGATAAGGTGAATAGATGTTTTTTTTTTTTTTAAAGTAGTACTGTGAAGTTTTAGGTAGATGAGGTAAGGACAATGTACAGCCATGTGTGTTCCATAAACACATCCTCTGCAGACACTGTATGGGAGAGACATTACTGTGACTGCTGGTTTTTGGAAAGCCTGAGGTACTCTACCAACTTTCCCTCTCCTTCGTTCATTACTTTCCTCTCCCTTTTCAAGCTTTGCTTCATCCTTAAAAACATTCCATCTTTTTAAGCTTTCCTCTCCTTTTTTTCCTATTTTTTCTGCCCTCATCTCTATTAGTAAAACACTACTACTTAGGTGGAGGTGGACGAAAATCAAAAGATATCTTGATTTAATGTCTGTTGCTTAAGGTTTATGCTTCTTGGAAGGAGAGACATAGAAAACGATGGACAAAAAAAAGTTAAAAAAAAGAAGTTTAGAGGAGAAAAAAAGAAGGACATATGCTCCATAACAGAACAACTCTATATGACTCTGCAGGTCTTTTTAAATGAACACACCTCTCCCTGGACAGCCACCTTATAATGGTGGATACGTTTGTGTGTTTCCTAGCAACTATGCTGTCTGGGGTTTTATGCCCCTGGTAGGCTCACGCATGTAAAAAAGATCTCTAGGGGAGGGTCCAGACAAAAAGCGGTCCATAAAACCAGCGAGCTGGTGGCCAGGACTTAGCTGAAAGGACCCAGTTGGGTTAGCCCGAAAGGATAACATGGGTCCAACTTCCAGTGGACCCATCACCCTGGGGGCTATAGGGTTGGGTGCATTGTGGGTTCAGCGGTTCCATCTTTATATAGTCAGTTTCACCTTGATGCACAGCCTGGATTCTGGTACCAGTGTGCTTGAGAAGAGCTGGACCTGCTTCGTCACCAGAGTTGCTCCCGGTGAGAGGCGCAGACCAGTTGTGGCATACTTATTGCACCCTTTGTACTTTGGGGTTTGCCCCAGTGGATGAAAGGATAGCCTCTCTCCACCTTCAGGTGGGGGACCATGATTTTACTTGACACTTTTTAAAGAACCTGGGTTGAGAATTGGAGAGCACTCCTTTAGGTAACTCCCTCTTTCTGCTGGGAGACATCCATGCTCACCTGGGCAACAACAGTACGACTTGGAGTGGTGTAATTGGTGGGAAACACCCTCTGATCTGAACCTGAGTGGTAAATTGATGTTGGACTTATGTTCTCGTCACAAATTGTCCATAATGAACACAAAACTCAGGCATAAGAATGTCCACATGCACACCTGGCATCAGGCCTCGATGATTTCAATAGAACATTGGTCCCTCCCATGAACAAGTGGATACATGACGGGTTTACTGACATACACAGTATGAGCATTTTAATACACAAGATGTTGCTGTGGTTCAAACGGTAGGTTACTGCATCAAGCACCGTTGGTAAGTCCAATGGGGCAGTCAAGTTCCTCGTCACCAGACGGATGCACCTTGCCCCTTTTATGAACTGACAGATGAATGGGTGCTGGCTGACAGTCTTGTCTCCAAAGCCAATATGACAAGCCAATATATCTGCCAAGTATACTTTGATCGTGGAGAAAGCCAGACCTTTGTCTTCATATCAAATCAGTCAATCATTATCAATAAAAGCTTCACGATGAAAAATGTTTTTCTGCAACAATGATGTGTAAACCTTGTACTGACTGATCAACAAACCAGATTTTTAATCTATAATCTGGTCATCAACCAGTTATTTGTAATTTTCTGATACAATCACATATTTAGTGCTAATTTACATGTTTAGGTATCGACTTAAAACCATACTTAGCACATTTATGCAGCAATTCATGCGAAAAGCCATGATTTCAAAAGCAATTAATTTCAGATAATCTAAAAATATATTTTTGCCTCTTTTGCCACCAAGTAACTCTCTGATCTTAAAAAACACATACTGACACTGTCAATTTCAGCTTTAGACACAAGTATCAAACTGATAACTAACAGATATGTAGAAAATAAGCGTGCATGCGTTGAACATCAGTTACTTGCTCTACAGTCGAACTAAAACTATCTTGAAGAATCAATACAAATTTGCAGGGAAAGATTAACAAAAAGGCTTTATGGTGCTCTATTAGTGTTCATATTACCTTAAGCCATTCTTCAGCTTGTTCTTTGCTCTGTACAGCCAGCACCAGGGCATCAGCCCCCTGGTGGAATATCTTTAGTTCATGCTTCTTCTTCTTGCCATCTTTGGGAATGTGAGTAACACTGCATCCTGACAGAGTCAGTTCCATCTGGGGGTTGTGATCCTTGGAAGACTTGTAGCACTAAAGGGACAGAAAATGACTCACATTAACCTGGAAATGCCTAACATGATTCTACTGTTAGACGTTGCAGTTTGTGTAATGACAATGAATGAGTTTCGCTCACAAGCAGTTTATCGTCTTTGATGACACAGAGCAGTTTGGTCCACTGGCCAAAGCGTTTTTTGCGTAGCAGAAAGGCACAAATCCGGGCGTCTTTCACAAGATCCATGGATGCCTCTTCAGATGGCCACTGGTGACGCATCTTCTGTCCCTTCCCATCCTCCTCTTCCTCATCATATGACTCGTAGGAACTGCTCATGGCGTCGGAATCATAGTCTGAAAGGTAGTGAAGAGGTGACCCTTTACCTTCTATTTTTCCCCAATAAAATGTAATCAACATGTTGTATTTTTTCAAGAACACTATTTTATAGCAGAGGATATGTATCAACAATAAACCTGTTACTCACTAGAGGTGATGTACTCAGGAGCTTTCCCCGGAGTTAAAGGAACCGCCTCCTCATAGTAACCTTCTGGAAGTGAGGAACTGGGCAATGGAGGAGGGGCAGTGTTGGGAGCCTACAGAGAGAACAAGTTTCCACTGGTTACAACAAGAGGTCTACCGAGCTATTTACTCAAAATGACACATTGACTAAAATCATTATTAACAAGTGGAAATTAGTCAATATAATAATAGAGTTAACCCAGTAGAAGCTATCACATTCCCGTAATGGCTATCATAGCAAATTCACTGAAAGGTCAGACCTTTTAAAAAACAGAAAAAGCAAAAGCTACATCTCAGATACTACAGGCCAAAGTTGATGTGTTATATGTTAAATCTCATGACAGTACAACTACAAAAGGACTGAGAAAATATGGCATGCTTTGAAAGCTTTCTCTATAAAAACATGGGAGCAGAACATTAAAAAACATTAGATAACAGACAAGACCAAAATGAATGTCTTGTCATGCACAAAAAACTGATTCTAAACACAACCACCTCATGGAAACAATTATTTATTAAGTCAACCATGGACTTCTATTTACTAAAGTATTCTTTTTTTTAATCTTTTGTTTTTAGAGATTTTTTGCAAAACAAAAAAGATGAAAAGAAAACCCATGTTTTTGTCAGAATTTAGACGAGCTGGGAAAAAAAGAATAAAAAAATATATATAAATAATTAAACTTTGCAGGACCATATACCCCAATGACTTAGAAAGAATAAAAACGAGAGGATGTTGCACTAGTCAGCTCAATGAGAGAGAGTTTAATATTTTGGAAATTTTTGGCCCCAAATTCATCCCGAGTAAGTAGACAAACAGCTATGAGAGGGAAGTTGATTTCCAATTACCGTAATCAAAATTAAGCATCTAGCTAAGGGAGTACTAAAAGCAATCATGTCGTATTTTGATGTATATAGATAGAGGAGTAATGGACTGATACCTAATAAAGTGGGCCATTAACTTAAATGAATAATAATAACCTCAGAGAGGGTTTTTAAAAATATCTGTCCAAAATGTACCCAGTTGGTGGCAAAGCTAAAGTGAAGGAATAGGGTTAGCTGGCGCCTTTTGCATTTATCATGGACGGCGGTGACATTTTTCATGAATCTTTCAATCTTTTCCAGATGACATTTCATTATCGCAACCTGACTGAAAGCAGCTTTTACACCTTAGCTTGTTAAGCTTGTTTAACAAACAAGTAATTTGATTTATGGTACAACAGAGGTTCCGTGAACCTAAGAATTTAATATATACTATTGAATTACTACTTGATAGATAAATTGTACAACTCAAAGTGAAGGTAGTGCATTTACAGACCTTGTGGGTTTCCCACATCACTGCATTCACTCAATTTCAGTTATTAAAATCTAACCTGAAATCACATTTGAGCCAACGTCAGGTCAAGTCAAGCATGAAAAGCTGTGGAGCTGAAAAGGCCTAAAAAGGCCAATATCTAAGCTTGTCTGAAATCTTTGATTTTATAAAGAGGTGATTGCTGAAAACTGTTCTCCCTCATCAAAAACGTATCTTATCAATTACTACAAGTGCCAATTTCCCTATCATAAAATTGTGAAAACACTATAGCCATTCAACTCCACCCATTGTGTGCCCTTTGTTGCATAGCAGTTATGTCAGGACCCACTGTGGAACATTCTGAAAGGACATAGCTGACATGAAGCCCTAGTGGCTAACTAAAAATTGCGGAAAGTATGTGTCACTGAGGTGGACTGTCTAGCATTGCAGCAAACTCCTATAATTGAGGTAGTCACTTTAAAAAAGTAACTTTTACTAAACTACTACTCTGTTTTAACACATTTGCTGGGGAATCCAAATGGTAAAAAGAAATATGTTAGAGAAGATAAGAAAGTTAAGTTTGACTTAAATCTTAAAGAACCCCTGGGTAATAAACCTTAATTTAGATGAAGATTTTAAAACGGTAAGGTATGTGACGCATAAAGATGAAAACTAATGAGTCAATCAGTGTAAGAACTTTGTGAATTACATGAGCCTGTGTGTTTTCTTTCTCTTTTTCTCATAACCAGCCCATGTTTTATGCAGGTCAAGATGTTTATGTATTTAGAAGATGGTTTTATCAGGTAGCTAGGCTTAGAGTAAAATGCAGTGCCTAGCCTGGGGACCCTTACTGGATAGTTGCCCTAGTAAGGATTTGAACCCCCAACCTGGTGTTCTGTCCATCAGCAGGTAAACTAGAAAGACATGAAAAACAATCAAATGACAAGTTAGACAGGAGTATAGCTAACAAATAATTGGATTCCCCTAAATGGCCAACTATAGAGTCAGAGAGAGAGAGAGAGAGAGAGCGATAGGTAGATTATATATATATCATTTAATGTGTATGTATAATCATTGCAATCTTTGCAATCTTCTCTGCTACATTATCAATATTCCCCCAGTTTGTCTGCTGGTTCACCAGAAAACTAGATGCTGGACTTATTATATGCAAATATCAAAATGCATACAGCTCCTCTAACCTGCCTCCTTTAGAAAAATCCAACTATAATCTTGTTCTTCTTACTTCCACCTACAAGCCCATCATTGATCAGCAGCTAGTCATCCAATAGACTTTTAAACCTGGTCTAATGAAGCTGAAGATGCTCTGAAAAGGTGCTTTAAGGCCACAGACTGGAATGTCTGGAATGAAACATTGCTCTAAATTATCATATGGAGACAATAGGCAACAAAAAAACAAACAAGAAAGAAATAGACAATACAGCTTTTAAAAAGGTTAGAAAAATTAAAAAGAAAAATATTCTAAGAATCTGGACTCAAAAGTACAATGAATCTGGCAAAAAAACTAAAAACACAAAAAAGAAACACTTGGTAAACAAAATCTGACAACCAACTAGCAATAAATGTATATATGAACCTAATGTCATTTTTTTAAAAAAGACATTTTATTCCCCAATACATGAAACTGACATAAACAGTTGAAGCTGGATCTCGCCTGAGGATCCATCCTCATTTTGGTATTAGTTATGGAAAGCCATACTCAACCAAAACAGACAATATTGGCATCTAGTTACAAACGTATTATTAGTAAAACATAGGATCTGTGTGTGAACCACACACTATGCAGTACTATAGTGAAGTGCTTATGTGGTACCACAGAAGTATACATTTAAATATGATTTAGGAGCCTTAAGAAATCTTGCTTTTTGCAGATGAGATGATGTGGTCCTGTTGGCTTCATCAAGTCTTCATCAAACCGTTCTCGCTGGAACGGTTCAAAGCCGAGTGCGAAGCGGCTGGCATGAGGATCAGTGCCTCCAAGTCTGAGACTATGGTCTCTCAACACAAAAGGGTATGGTGCCTTTTTCGGGTCGGAGCGGACGTCCTTTCCCAATTGGGGGAGTTCAAGTACCTCAGAGTCTTGTTCGCGAATGGGGGTAGGGAGCGTGAGATCGATAGGCGGATCGGTGCGGCGTCTGCAGTAATGCGGGCGCTGTACCGGTCTGTCGTGATGAAGAGAGAGCTGAGCCTAAAGGCGAAGCTCTCGATTCATCAGTCAATCTATGTTCCCGCCCTCATCTATGGCCACGAACTTTGGGTAGTGACCGAAAGAACGAGATCGCGGATACAAGCGGCCGAAATGAGTTTCCTCCGCAGGGTGGCTGGGCTCTCCCTTAGAGATAGGGTGAGAAGCTCGGCCATTCGGGAGGGGCTCAGAGTAGAACCGCTGCTCCTTCACATCGAGAGGGGCCAGTAGGGGTGGGTCGGGCATCTGATCAGGATGCCTCCCGGTCGCCTCCCTGGTGAGGTGTCCCAGGCAGGTCCAACCGGGAGGAGGCCCAGAGGAAGACCCAGGACCCACTGGAGGGACTATGTGTCCTGGCTGGCCTGGTAACACCTCGGGATCCCAATGGAGGAGCTTGCAGAAGTGGCAGTGGAGATGGGAGTCTGGTTTCCTTGCTTTGGCTTCTGCCCCATGGCAGCAGTGGAAAATGGATGGATGGATGGAAGAAATCTTGTCTTTTTTATAACACAAGACATGAGCAAACTGTATGAAATAAACTTTAGGTAAATCATAAACAACATTAAAGAGATACCTGTCAAAATGGTCAACGTAGCCCAAGAATTGCAGTAGGAAAACTTTTCAAAGTTCCAAAACTGCTTCAACTGACAAATGCACTATATGCACACTGATATAAGGAAAAAGATTTAATTAATTTAAACTAGAAAATTATTTTTTTTGCTACATTTAACTAAGACACAGGTGAAAACAGGTATGTCATCAGAATCCAATGTACTGGTAAGAATGCTGGTGGCAGCCTATATGCAGATGCTTCTCAAAATTGTCTCTAAACTGTATGTATGCCTATAGAGATGCAATGGTATTACTTTGTCAAATATAAAGTGAAAGAACGACTTACAGACTGAACTGCATTTTATTGTGCAAAATACAGCACAAATCCATGGAAATTAGGTTAAAAAAAACCTGTGCTACACCTTAAATTAAATGCAAACAGCCTGAAATGCAACAGGAATGTTAAAAAAACTATGGATATGTAAATTCCAACTACCTTTATGGTCATGAATGAAAATAATCAGTTTTGATGTTTCTGTTTATAAACTAAACTAAATAAATAGTTATAAGAAAACATTACAAACATTACATACTTTTCTATCTTTAAGCAAGCTCCTGCATTGTCCCTCATCTACTTGTTAATCTCATACAATTTTTTGTGTAGGTTGCATCATTGGACTTTACCTGGAATTGAGCATGAAAATTTAGATTCTATTTAAGACTACATTTATCAAAGATAATGAATGAAGTTAATTTAAGTATTTTCTTCTTTGTCTTCAAACCCTTCCTCCATTCTTTCTTTTCCACCCTGCCTTTTTTCATTTACATGTTGAGGAGTGGCTCAGGCATTGAAAAGAAACCTTATCACATATCCTCTGGGGGAAGCAGCAGTTCAATGCACTCGTTTTTTGGCAGGAAAATGCACCACAGTTAAACTCTAGCACCACTAACATTCTCTTCCCCACCCAGTCCTAAAATAAAGGAAATATTCCCCTTGGCAGGAAAACAGGGGGGATGAATGGTAGAAAGGT